TGAAAAATGCAGTATTTGAAAGTGGCGCCCGAATTGCAGCATGGCGCCAGTTGTCCAAAATCCTACGGTACCAAAAGGAGGGGTTTGGAAAAAGGGTGCCAGGCCGAAAACGGGATGCAGCCGAAACAGCAAAAGATAGACCAGGGATCGAGCCCTGGCGAAGTCCGTAACATACTCGTTGCATGCTTTCTCGCGGGCATTCCCCACCAAACCTTGCTAAGGGGTGGACCTGCTACATGCGCTACCGCTAACTTACGCTGCGATGGTCCCTGCATCATCCACTTTCTTCTTTGCCCCACGTCGCTCTTGTCCTGCTCCTGCTTGCTCATCTGCTGCTACTGCAGTTTCCACTGCTGCGATTTCCACTGCTGCAGTTTCCGCCACTGCAGTTTCCACTGCTGTGGTTTCTACAGCTACAGTTTCCGCCGCTGCAGTTTCGGCTGCTGCAGTTTCCACTGCTTCAACAGTTTCTGTTGCTGCAGATGCCACCACTGTGGTTTCCACGGCTGCTTTTTCCAGTGCTGTGGCTTCCACTGCTGCAATTTCTACTCTTGCAGTTTCCATCACTACAGTGTCTACAACTTCGTTTTACCCTGGCAGTTTCTGCTAGTGCAGTTTCCACTGTTGCAGTTCCTACTACAGCTCCTCTGCTGCAGTCTTCAGTACAACGGTTTCTATACCTGGAATTCCCCGTACTATATTTTTTGCTGCTACAGCTTTCTCTGCTGCAGCTCAAGCACAAAGAACATCACAGTCCCTCCGACACGCACGTCCTTTATTTCGAAATCTTGCCCAATCCACTCCCCTTTCATCTCTTCTCGTGCTTGGCCGCAGACTGCTGCGTTCCTCCTCGCCACCCCCATCTCCTCCACGGTCTCACTTGCAAACAGACTCTCCGGTTTCCATTATTCCCATTGTTCCACCTTCGTTCTCGGGGACATGTTATTCATCTTCTGTTTGCAACACCACTACTCTTATTGTGTATCATCGACGACATGCGCGGCATCGTCACTTGTCGGGAAATCAGGAGTCTGTTTCTTTGTCTGCCCCAATTCTCTTTGTGCCTGCTCCAAAGGTTGTTGCAGTTCCTTTGTTCCAAACGGACAATATCCGCTCCTATGCCTCCTGTAGACAGTCCAGCTGCCTGCAGGCAGCCACAAAACCGTGTTTAATGCCCTTTAGCGTTAGATATTCATGACCCACCTGTAGAACAGGATGTGGACCCTGCCCAGAGTACACTCCCGGTTCCAGGGACAGTCCCTAATCAGGATGCGGCCCCAAATGTTGAGGCATTGGAAAATGATCTGCCCGGATTGCAGTTAACCCCACAAGGCGTAGACCACGTGGGGAATCTGCAAATGACTGACAAGCATCATTTGGATGAGCCACAAATTTGTGCCCCGCCGCGCGCAGACCATATGGGTGATTTGCAAACGACTGACCAGCAACACCATTGGCAACACTATCTGGGTGATCTGCAAATTGTTGACCAGCGTCCGACACACTAGCCTGAGATCCTCACCAATCTCTGTGGTCTGACTACAACTAATATTTGTCTTCATATTCTCACCGACTGTTTTATACACCATCAGACTTCCTTGCAATCGCCTTTCAGCTTGATGTTGATCTCCCCCGCCTACAACCAAAGGATTGTAATTATACCAGGGAAAGAGGTTTTACCATGGCTGTCCTAAAAGTAGCAACGAGGGAGTGCCTCTATCCCACATTGTGCATGGACCTGGCCATTACATGGCAATTGTACATAACTCTAACCACTGGGAGTTGTGGGACAACGACAACATAGTCCATGTTATAACTGATGTTACTGATTTCTTACATAATGATGTTGTTTTCTTGTCACACCAAACTGTCCGCAATCTCGTTCTCTATAGCAGAGGCGGTACGCACGGTTAACACCCGGATCAGACCCGTGCACAAATCGTCGCTCTTGGCGCTGATCTCTCGAGCGCGACCCTACGCCGGTCGACTAGGACGGTCAAATCTAACCACGTGATACATCTCACGAAAAATAAAATCAAACTGTCCTACACAAATCGCGCCCAGTCTCTTTTTCACATCTCACCCATAACTTCTAATAACTTAAACAGTTGGTGTCGCGCGCGAGGCTCTGAATAAATATGGCGGCGACGTAGGCCTTAGTCATATCGACAAGCCATGCATGAATACGCAAGCAGTCGTGGTGATGGCGTACTATGTAGTACCCATAATCATGTGGCCCTTAGTAGTCTCAAGGGTCATTTTCGACACTCAAGTGTCGGCTGACATGAGGTGCAGGCTGACCACACAATCCCACATACCAAAGGTACAGCAGCGCACGGCAAGAAAGAATAGTGGAAAGGCACAACAGAAACAGCAAGGCAGCAAGGTTGAACAGAAAAACACAGCAAGGAGCAAGGCACGCGGTAACTAAACGGCAGCAATGCGTTCGGCAAAGGCGCAACAACCATGCACAGTAATGGTCAGACCAAAATGCAACAACAGTTCCTTCTTCAAATCGGTAGCACCCCGATTCAGCTACAGTCAACTTGCAGATTACTGTTACAATATTTCTACAACCCGTGACACAACAATAAACAAGAAGTAGGCAATGCGCTCTAGTCAAAGCTTGGCACTATGCTATGAAGTCCGTTGTTGTGATTCGGAGCCAACAGCCAAGTGTGTTTCCTCATATCACAACCCCACCCTTTTAGTCAGCGCGCCTGGCCCTTCTCCCGGCCAGGTTCAGATGGCTTGAACACGACGACGAGCATGACTGGATTCCGCAACAGGTGAGTTCATCTCTTTCTCCCTCTGTGTTTGTGTTTGTGTGCATGTGCTCTCCCTCTCGGTTTGTCGCGGGTAAGTACCCTTTGTCGTTCGTACCGCATCCCCCTCCTCTGTGCTCCTCCTTGCTTTGCGGGATTGTCGGGCCAGTAAGAGGGGTTAATCTTCCCCGAGATTGTGGGAAGATTCGCACCCATTCTTCAACTCCTCTGTTCAAGCTGCGCCCGACCAACTGTATAAACGAGAGTGAATCGTCCACTAGAGCATGGAGATATACACAACCTTTCAGCCATACACGCAGGGGATAGAGAGAGGCTACTTCCATCGATAGGATGAGCAACGCACCGCCAAACAGGTAAGTCTCTGACCCCGCGGCTGGCCCCACGCTACTTCCATCGATAGAATGAGCAGAATTGCAATGAATCTCCCACTAGATCATGGGGAGATACATCGCAGGCTCGTGCAGAGGCTGCACGACACCAATCGCACCACCTGGCCAACCTCCCTCTCTCTCTCTCTCTCTCTCTCTCTCTCTCTCTCTCTCTCTCTCTCTCTCTCTCTCTCTCTCTCTCTCT